TTTTAATCAGCAGCTAGCGACCCCAGTGCCAGTTTACGTCCCATCACGTATTGTGTAGGCCTTAATAGATTATTTCTTGAAAAAGTCATGCAATTTTATAGGTTTGTATGCACAATATCCCACTAGTTATTTCGGAGCGTGACTGCATATTGTAGGGAATGTGTGGTACGTGCACATATAGAGGTTATCACGCGAGTGTGTTTGGGGATGGGAAATATCCTGCATTAGGGACGTTTATTCCTAATACAGGATATTTACCACCCTCAAACACACAAGAGTGATAACCTCTTTATCATCTAATGTCATTCTTTAACTCTGTGCCTTAAAATCGCTTTCCCTCTCTCACAAACATTACCGAAACATTGCGTTTTTCTGGAATGCGCGCATTAATATTTATTACGTCATAGGGTAAGTGATGTGTCAGTCGGACAGTGACAATAGCCAATATAGTTCGAACTGAAATCTATTTCTTATCCACTGGCGAAGCCACTATACGCAAAACAACAATTGCTTTTTATTGCCTTTCGCGGCAACCCATCGGTCTGTCCTCTAGAGTAACTGCCCTTTGTCAAAGGGAAGCTACTCTAACCCTAGTCTATGAGACGTCACGGACACAGTCAGACGTTGTTGACAGTCGGTCTGTCCTGTCATAACGTTAAGAAGTGCAATCAGATGTACACACAGCGACAAAACGAAACAAGGTAACAATTCAAATATATTTCGGCCAAATCCAACTATTTTAATTTGTGGAGAAGGTTTCAAGCCGCAGAGGTCTACAAGCACAGATATGGCTACTGATCCCGCTTGGCTAGGCCTAGCGCCCTCGCAAAATTGTTTCGAAATTTATATCTCCAAACTTGCCAAAACTTATGAAATGCCTTATCTACGTCACAGTTAGACACGGATTTTCAGTATATTAGACCGTTCTCTTGATAATGATAGCAATTATCCCTGTAGTTTATCCAGATTCACGATGGTTAATTCTGACTCGATCGCCGAATGACAAGGGCGACGCCATGTTTGTTTATAAACAGTGAAAGTAGTCCCTACTTGAACTTTTGATATTTGCATCTCTATCCGCATATGACCACAACGGGTATCGTTTTTATCCGTTGGCTTTATCCTGCCGAGAAACCTACCCATTATATGATAAAGGTTTGTAGCACAATATCTCACTAGTTATTTAGGAGCATGTATATTGTAGGGAATGTGTGGTACGTGCACATGTACTGATGTAGCTATAGACACCTTGAACTGAACACAGGCGTTTATTATCTTTCTGTTTCTGTCAATCAAATCGATACTAGATCATAAATATCAATATGCCAACACGCTGTTATAGGGGCGGTCGTGTAGCCTAGTGGTTAAAGCTTCGCTCGTCAGGCCAAGACCCGGGTTCCATTCCCTACATGGGTACAATGTGTGATGCCTATCCGGTGTACCTCGCCGTAAGATTGCTTGAATATTGATAAAGCCGGCGTAAAACCATACTCATTCACTCACATACTGTTATACCAACTGCTCACTATTCAACACGACTGCTACGTTGTCACAATTGCTGTGTGAACACCTACGGTTATAGTTGATATTTTTAAAGATGCACTTTCATTGCTTTTTCTCTACCCAAATTCCAAAATATACTATGTAAACAAAACTAATCTATCAATAACTGATTATCCTCGTTACACAGACAAAATATCATCATCTCATACAAAGTACTAATTGACGTCTAAGCCAGTATGAACATACCGTGGAGAATGTCCCTTTAACAAAAGCCCCACGCTCTCATCTAAGGGTTCACATTGTCAACCGCCTCTGCATGACATGTGTTGTAAACAGCCATGACGTTAGGGGTAAACATATTGATTATACAATGAGCGTGATATTTTAGATGTACTAGCAGCTGAAGCTATTCCGTGAACCACTATAATTGACTGAGAGTTCAATGACAAATCTATTTATCATTCTTTTGTCAACACAACACCTTTCACAACACGACCAGTTTCTAACAGTCAGATAATACACGACAGCTTGCAGTGTATTTGGAATGTAGGGTGCGCCAGTCATGCAGGGGTCCAGTCTGCAGAAGGTTCGAATCCCAGGATTTCAGATTTGGTTCATGCTTCTATCTTTGGTTTGTTTGTTGATTAACACCGTACTCAGCTATATTCCTGCTATATGACGGCGGTCTGTAAATAATCGTGTCTGGTCCAGACAACAACAAATCAACAAAAGTACATGCACGTGACAACAGTACAAACATGTAAGCAATCATTGGATACAGACTTGCTCACACTTGACAGTTTCATTCATTTCAGATACACTTATGTAAATGTCCAAAAACTGCCAATTGCAAGAAAGAACAACAGCTGCTTGTCATTGAACATTTCTGATTATTTTCGTCTGAACATTTCAGTGTTTTGCAACTTTAAACGTTAACATTTCCAGCAGAATGAAAGACGCCCTCATCCTACACCTACTCACTGAGTGAGTGAGTATAGTTTTCCAGGAATATCACGACTGGGGACACCGGCAAATGAACTTTACACATTGCACCCATGTGGTGAATCAAAACTTGGGCGTGACGAGCCAACGCCTTAACCCACTAGATCTAGTCTACCCACTGTGAGTTACATGGTTACAGGGTTTCAAAAAACGTCTCAGATCTGCCTCACGATTTAACTGAAATACTGTTCAAGGTCGCATTAAACCAAACACATGTACCCACAACACAGTTATTGAGGTATAGCTGGACCAAGTTTTGAAATGAAACAACATGAAGATGAAAAAACTTTATTTCCCTTTGTGGAAACTGACAAACATATATAAACACATATAAGAATAATTATGGCACATATTTACTTCTCATTAAATAATAAGATTCAAAGGTCAATGTTTTTAAGTCATAAAAGAAAATTAACTGTTGATTTCCCGAATACTTTTCTGTGAAAGCATCGACAACAGAGTAGTCAAAGCATGGCACAAAAGGTGGTTTCTTTACTTGATATTACAGCAAAGATGATTCACATCAAGGTGCTAAATGAAGGAAAAAACTCTAAAATAAACGGAAATACATTTGTATAAATACACAAACAATTCAATAACAAATGTGTTAACCAAACAGTGGAAAGAGTAGAGTTCCTCCAAACAAAAGTAGAGTAAAAGATGTTTGCGTCTTAAAGTTACTGTCAACGACTGTAGTGATACATAAATGTTTATTACCTGTGAGTATATATGAAGGTACAAGGATGAATTCTTACCTCATATAACAGCTGCCATGTGACCTACATGTGACCACACACAGCCTTGCTAACTGCTAATTGGCATAATTGTTTTCACAGAGATAATTATGTAGCTCTAACAAAAGAGAAATAAAAAATAAATAAATATTTGTTAGTTGAAGTAAACCTGTTACCTTATCTACATATAACAATAATTATTAATCATATAAGAGGATGATGCCGTATATCCCCAGAGAAAATGTGCATGTATGCAATACTACTTGAGTCTTTTGTACAAAATATAAATGGACGGGTTCAAACGTGGACAATGCTGTCGGTGGACGATGACAGGGGATATACATGATGTGTAGAATGGAATGTATTGGATGATTAACTGTATCTGGACAAAAGATTCACAACACTTCAGCCCTTCTCTGATTGTTCGTGTCCATTATCACATGGGTGACATGGAAAATGTTTTATTGTTGGAGAAATATAATTTGAAATGTCAAGATTTTTGGTCCAATTAGATATTTAAATTTACAATGTCTATGATGCATTTTCATGAAACATCCCTGTCAGACATGGTTGGTGATGGAAGGAATTCAGATTTGATATACATGTAATGACAACTGAGGGACCGATTTAAGTACGAATAAATATTTTGCATCAAATTTAATTTTTGGGGCAAATTCTGAAACAGGATAAAACAAGAAATACGATTAGCGAATAATTCCTTCTCCTTTTAAGAAATAAACATAGAATCTAAGGCAGTCATTTTCAACACAACAACCATCAAGTTTTTATGGAGCTGAGCTTGATACAGAGTGAGTGAGTTTGGGCTGACGCCACTTTGAACAGTATTCCAGTTATATCACAGCAGGTCAGCTTGATGTGGGAGGGAAGCCTGATGTGATGCAGGCCTCAGACATTTACCACTACCTAATGTAGGGAACAAGATTCAACCATACCTTTCAGTGGTGATAGGATTAACAAAATGGAGAATGGAAAAATCATAGTTTTTGTCATATTACATTATGATATGGTTGCATAACTTCAGTGTGACGAAGGTTAAAATGTAATAGTGAAAAGATTCAGTTAATAATACTAATAACAGTAAGTGAACAGTATCTCAAATAAGAAACCCACATGCATCAATCCTTATAATATTTTAGATATTTCAAGTAGAGACGGGCAAGTCGTTTGATATAATATCCCCAATACAAAGATTCTTCTGACATTAATGAAGACAATTGAAGGAATATTGATATTCGACACAACAAATAACAATAAAATAAATTTCTACTGAAACATTTCCTATACTCCCAATGAAGATATGGAAGTAAGTGAGTGAGTGAGTTTGGTTAAACACCGCTTTTAACAGTATTCCATTTATATCACGGCGTGTCAGCTTAATGTGGGAGGAAAGCCCGAAGTAATGCTGGTCTTAGACGTTTACCACTTCGGTGAAACCCTTTAGCACGGGTATGGCGCTGATAAACTTAGAAACATAATGGGGGCGAACCGGGATTCGAACCCACAATCATAGGTTTCTGGCGTGCCCGAGGGACGCAACTCTGCACATCAAAATGCGGCGCCTTAGACAACAGGGCCACCCGTGCCCCCGATATGGAAGTCAGATTATACATACTAACAGGAACTCATTTTGGCAATTTATTGGAGTCGTTCAAAAGAACAGAACACATGTTTTCGTACAATCCTTGTTTAACAAAGTAAGTAATGTCATCATAAGATTCTGAGTTTAGGGACAGAGTTCAGGGTCAACATAGTTAAAATATAAATGAAAATATATACATATACATGTTGCACATGATAAACTCAGTGAGACACATCTAATATAATACACTGTGAAAGACATCAAAGTTAACAAAGCACACAAACATTATTGGCACATCCGAAGAATACAAACAAACATGGCACTACAGAAATAGTGATTATTTTATGTTGCTTTTAGCAAAGTTCCAATCAAATTCCAGCACGGGACACCAAGAATCAGCTTCAAACCCATGGGAATCAAACTCGGACCCAGGCCATATGAGCATTGCTTGACCCATCATCCTACCCTACCGCCTCCACAACAAATGTAAGTGCATCAGCTGCATGTATCAATATTATTAAATATGTATGACACATTTTAAAGACTTTTTACCAGATTGGACTACATATGGGTCACATGCAATAAAGATCGATATCATAGTTATGGCCTATTGATATTATAGTAAAACAAAAACATAATCATAAAACTTCATATTGAGACCAGCACTTTTTAAAATACAGCTGTTGGTCTTATTTACATCACACACAATGGCATACATATGCTTCACTGACATGTTTCTTGCTCCAAATTAGTTGTGGTAGTTTAGAATCTGGTCACACAAACATTTGCTATCTTCAAGCTCATCCAGTGCAACACAGCAATTAACCATATTGAAACCCCATCTCGGTTTCACACTGGACACATAATGCAATGCCTACAACAAAAATTATCATTTTTGTCGTTCTTTTTGGGGGGATGCTAGGAGGAAAGAATGATATCTGTACTGCGACAAGACTTTGTCATTGGATATTTTACAAAAAGGGACAATTCTTTTCATCATTTTGTCATGGATTAGAGCAAAGAGTGAGTTTTGTCTTGCATTGAAAGCATTATCATACATGGTGATGGACACACTGAATGCTTTACACTCTATATATTTGTGGCAAGAGTGAGTGAGTGACTATGGTTTTACGCAGCCTTTTGCAATATTCCAGCAATATCACGGCGGGGGACACCAGAAATGGGCTTCATACATTGTACCCATGTGGGTAATTTGAAACCGGGTCGTTGGTGTGATGGGCAAACGCTTTAACCACCTTTGTGGGAATAGAACCTACACCTTTGATATGTCAAATAAAACACAAGGCTATCCCACCACCCCGAGGGATGCTCATTCGGTACAAAATGTCTTTACGTCATGATTGAGATGATCACTTGGTACAGTGTATATATTTACATTTTGAGTGAGATGCTACAAAGATATAGTGAATATAAGTTCTGTACAAAACTATAGAAAGGCTCTGGAGGAATAAACATATCTTTGAGCAAGATTGTTCATAGCAGTGTATAAAATGTGGCCTTGCTTGAGGGGCTGACCATTCCTCAAGGGAGATTACAAGTAGGGATGTCACGATTCACCGATTGTACCAATGCATTGGTAGATAATTCTCACGATACGATATGAGATACATGTAAATATATATTGATACAAAATTTTATTGAAATCATTATCCATTTGTTCGCGTATCGATTGATTTTTCTATTCGAATCGAAATATCATCATATTTTCCGAATTTGACACATACGAAAATTTGTTAGTTTCTGACACTTGTTTGAATAAACAGAATCAACCTTTTCTAAGTATTATTATTTTACAAAATAATCAACTGATAGTGGTTAGAACACATTATTGTGAATGTGATATGTAATTAAAAAGTTTGCTTCTAAATATACTCATATAAAGTCGGTATTGCTGTATTGAGATACGTATCGTATCTTGACCTTAAAGTCGAGATACGTATCGTATCATGGGGTACCTGTATCCTGACAGCCCTAATTACAAGGATGGCAAGAGTCGTAACAAGTACCCACTGAGAACACAGCTGGCAAGATCCAGTACAAAAAGAAACATATGTCAAAATTATGTACAGTTACATCATCATGTCAACCAAATAATAAATGGTGTGACATCCATTTTCATTACAAAGGCTTTATGGTGTTATGGTGTTTACAAAAAGTTGGAATACATACATGTGTATATTTATATAAAGAAGTATTTTACAACAAATATTGGCCCCAAATGCATATGAAGATTCAACATGTCTAACAAAAAAACCTCAATCAATGATCCTGACGTAAATATTTCAGTCTAAATGATCAGTCATGCCTTTGAATTATTCTTCAGAATACCACAGAAAATAACTGTGTTTGTGTGTGTGTGTGTGTGTTCTATTCTTGTTGCCAAGATACCTGACATACATGTGTCTACCATGTTCTCTAAATAGGCAAATGGGGCAGGCTTCTACAATACATGAAAGTTTACTCACAAATGTACCTATTTACACAACAATAATAAAAATTAAAATAAGTAAAATATATATTTTACAAATTGCATTTTGGACCCAATATTGTCAGATGATATTCAAATCACTTGACATTCACTTGATATTTAAAACACAATAACAGTGCATGCAGATGTTTGTAACGGTAATAGAAATAAAACAAATAGCACTAAAATGTTGAATACACTAAGACGAAAATGTTCAGTCATTGATAGAAGATTCACAACACAGCCATGAAATGAATTCTTATTCATTTTACAACAGGACTGTTTGAATGTTCAGTTGCTTCAGCAAGTGCTGCACTTAAGCTGTTTTCCACTCCAATCCTGGAACCGGAGGTCGTCGTCTTTGATGATCTCGCCTGTATCTCCGCGGAAAGTCGCTGCCATCTACCAGACATCCCTGTTTCTCGTACTTCTCGATCAGTCTCTTGAAGATCTTGTCACTTCGCAGCAAGTTCTCATTACCTGAGAATGAAAAAATCCAATTTAAAAAAGAATAAAAATTCCTAACTATTTCGTGTCACGAACACACGACCTCGGCAGTGAAATGTGACAATACTTAAAATCAATGCGATCCAATAAAGTGTGCAGTTACTTCCCTTAACATGCTGTTTATTTGGTTACATACTAAAAAATGGTATCTGACAGACACTCACGTATGTATCTCTAAAGTTAGAGATCCCATCCTTACCAATGATGATGAGACCTTTGTGAGATCTGGTGAGCGCCACGTTAATCTGGTTGGCATCAGTGATGAAGCCGAGGTTGTGTTTGCTCCAGCCCAGTGTTGGGTTCTTCTCTATCTTGTAATGGGGCAGAGAGCGTACCGTGCTGAAGATCACGTAGTCCCACTCACCTCCTGTTAAACAAATATGGAATTGGTGAGTTGGGCTTAATGCTGTTTCAAACTGTAAGGCATATAAATTAAATATGGGAGGAAGTCCCAAAGTGACGCAGGTCGTAGATGGTTTACACTTCGATGAAATCCATGACTATCCCTTTCTCTAAACCCCATACATCTGGTATTTGTACCCCACACCCCTTGTTATTAGACCAAGGTTTCACGCATCTTCCCAAGGCAAGGGAGTTAACTGACTATAAAAGTCCAGCTTCCACCCTTGCCGAACTAGGCTGGTATTAAGGAGTTACAATTTGGCTGGACTAACGAGTCTATGCATAGTGCAATCAAAATCGCGTACTGAAATCGATTCTGGTTCGTAAACTGTCATGCAGATTTCGAGCGATTGCACGATTTGCACAACATGTGCACCGCCAACTCGTCAACAGATATTTTCCAAATCTTTTCAAGTTTTTAATCAAAGGGCTCACGTGATTTGATGCACTTCGCGATGTAAGACCCGTTTTCTCACAATTTAGATCTGATTGTCGATCAGATCGTCCTGACTGGGCACCTCCATTTTGTTTGAATCAAATGCAAGTGATACAAGAGGTGGAATCTGATTGGTCAATAGGAGAGGCATAAAAGGGACTTAACTCATAACAGCCACTGGTGGCGCTTCGATCGAGCCCATGAATTCCAGCCTGGTTAGGCAAGGGTGGAACCTGGACTTTTAAAGTCAGTTAACTCTCTTGCCTTGGGATGATGGGTTTTACACGACCCACAATTGTGTCTAGTATGCACAAATGTAGAAAATGGACGCAGAAAAAAATATTCTGCATCCCAAGAGACGCACAAGAATATTCACAGTTCCAACATGTACAGCGAATCAAGAGCAGTTATAGTGTGTTATTTCAGTCATCAACCATGACCACTCTCCACATGATCATTGATTCATACCTGAGGCTCCAAAGTAATTATCAAAATGTACAGTACACATACTACACTACACCATTCCAGTACTTTACAGGACCCTCATCTTGCCTGCAAGAACCCTTAAAATTAATTACTGGAGCTCCCCTGGAGCCCTACTATTGTGACAGCATGTGACAGTGGTACAAGCATGCCCTTTTCTCTGATTAAGTTGAGGCCAAATGGGGTTCAACATAACATTCAAGATTATTGCACTCATATAGTGCTATGCATGCATGTGTGTGTGTGTGGCTGCTTGTACTAGTCCAGACTAAAGATCTTTTATAGTGCTATCCCACTGAGGTCCAATGCCACAGTTCAAAATGGATACCCCCACTCAGACACATTTTACTGACTCCAAGATGAGGCCTTGTTTTATGCCCTTAGTGCCAAGCGCAAGGCATGGTAACAACAAGTACCATATTTAAAGTTTTTTTGGTGGCCAGGGACCCAACCACCGACCTTCTGCTCTCCAGACAGATTCGCTATCCACTAGACCACAGAGGCGGTCTTCTTAATTTAACTTAATGTTGCTACTGGAATGGCCATTGATGACTTTACCTTGGCTGGCCACAACAGTGTTGACGTTGAGACTCTGATGGTGGTACTTGGACAGAGCCTCGCGTATCTTGGTACACTGGGCGTTGTACTGCGACATGATGTTGATGTAGCGAGGGGAGATTCCACCCTTCTGAACCAGCCAGCTGAACACCTCAACCTGAACAACCAAGGCAAAATAGTAAGAAATGCAGGGACCACTTTCTTTGTCTTTAGTTTTAATACAGGTATATGTAAACAGTAAGTAATGCAGGGACCACTTTCTTTGTCTTTAGTTTACAGGTATATGTAAATAGTAAGTAATGCAGGGACCACTTTCTTTGTCTTTAGTTTACAAGTATATGTAAACAGTAAGTAATGCAGGGACCACTTTCTTTGTCTTTAGTTTGCAGGTATATGTAAACAGTAAGTAATGCAGGGACCACTTTCTTTGTCTTTAGTTTACAGGTATATGTAAATAGTAAGTAATGCAGGGACCACTTTCTTTGTCTTTAGTTTACAAGTATATGTAAACAGTAAGTAATGCAGGGACCACTTTCTTTGTCTTTAGTTTGCAGGTATATGTAAATAGTAAGTAATGCACGGACCACTTTCTTTGTCTTTAGTTTGCAGGTATATGTAAACAGTAAGTAATGCAGGGACCACTTTCTTTGTCTTTAGTTTACAGGTATATGTAAACAGTAAGTAATGCAGGAACCACTTTCTTTGTCTTTAGTTTGCAGGTATATGTAAACAGTAAGTAATGCAGGAACCACTTTCTTTGTCTTTAGTTTACAGGTATATGTAAACAGTAAGTAATGCAGGAACCACTTTCTTTGTCTTTAGTTTACAGGTATATGTAAATAGTAAGTATTGCAGGGACCACTTTTTCTTTGTCTTTAGTTTACAGGTAGATGTAAATAGTAAGTATTGCAGGGACCACTTTTTCTTTGTCTTTAGTTTACAGGTAGATGTAAATAGTAAGTAATGCAGGGACCACTTTCTTTGTCTTTAGTTTACAAGTATATGTAAACAGTAAGTAATGCAGGGACCACTTTCTTTGTCTTTAGTTTACAAGTATATGTAAACAGTAAGTAATGCAGGGACCACTTTCTTTGTCTTTAGTTAACAGATATATGTAAATAGTAAGTAAAGCAGGGACCACTTTCTTTGTCTTTAGTTTACAGGTATATGTAAATAGTGAGTATTGCACGGACTACTTTCTTTGTCTTTAGTTAACAGGTATATGTAAATAGTAAGTAATTCACTGACCACTTTCTTTGTCTTTAGTTTACAGGTATATGTAAATAGTAAGTAATGCAGGGACCACTTTCTTTGTCTTTAGCTTACAGGTATAAGTAAATAGTAAGTAATGCAGGGACCACTTTCTTTGTCTTTAGTTTACAGGAATATGTAAATAGTAAGTTTTGCACGGACCACTTTCTTTGTCTTTAGTTTACAGGTATATGTAAATAGTAAGTAATGCAGGGACCACTTTCTTTGTCTTTAGTATACAGGTATATGTAAATAGTAAGTAATGCAGGAACCACTTTCTTTGTCTTTAGTTTACAGGTATATGTAAATAGTAAGTAATGCAGGGACAACTTTCTTTGTCTTTAGTTTACAGGTATATGTAAATAGTAAGTAATGCAGGAACCACTTTCTTTGTCTTTATTTTACAGGTAAATGTCAATAGTAAGTAATGCAGGGACCACTTTCTTTGTCTTTAGTTTACAGGTAAATGTAAATAGTAAGTAATGCAGGGACCACTTTGTTTGTCTTTAGTTTACAAGTATATGTAAGTAGTAAGTAGTGCAGGGACCACTTTCTTTGTCCTTAGTTTGCAGGTATATGTAAACAGTAAGTAATGCACAGACCACTTTCTTTGTCTTTAGTTTACAGGTATATGTAAATAGTAAGTAGTGCAGGGACCACTTTCTTTGTCTTTAGTTAACAGGTATATGTAAATAGTAAGTAATGCACGGACCACTTTCTTTGTCTTTACTTTACAGGTATATGTAAATAGTAAGTAATGCAGGGACCACTTTCTTTGTCTTTAGTTTACAGGTATATGTAAATTGTGAGTAATTCATAGACTACTCTCTTTGCCTTAAGTTTACATATTTATTGTACTGACCACTTTGTCCACCTCTGCCTTGTTGGACTTGGACTGTTCATTGCCCTCTTCTGTGGACACACTGAGGCTGTCCTCCACCCCCTCCACATGGCACAGGACATGGGGAATCTCCTGCACCGGCCACAGGTCCAGTGGCACACCCTTCTCCCATGCGACGGATGGACCTGTGATGAGTTTACCACTATAGAACTCTTCTGATGGGAAGTCACAGATGCGAGGGTGCTGTAACAAAACAAATATTTCTTGAGAGCATGTGGACAATATGACATTCTTTGTTTACATAAATGTGCATTTATGACTATTTCAGGTTAAGAAGGGTAGACTGGATGGTTCTGCAGTCTAACTCAGCACTAAGGTTCCAGCACTAGATATACAGAGTTACATCCTGCATATATCTTAGGATCCACTGGTCATTGGTTTCAGATGTAAACTGATTATGTAACAGCACAATACCCAGTTGTGGATGCATACACCTCTACAACCCAAAAGCCATGATACACATGTATATCTGACACAGTTGACACAATCTTTTAATTAGCAAAATACATTACAGATCAGGAATGACAACATTATTTATTTGCTGCCATGATGCAACTGGAATATTGTTCACTGCAGTGTAGATTTAACCATTTCTGACTCACACAGGTAAAACGACAACTCACCATCCTGTACTGAATGTTCAGGAAAGTTGCCTCAGAAGCAAACCTCTCAAACAGCGACTGATCCAGCCCCAATTCTGCAGCTTGCTTGCACTGAACAATTGGCCGCAGTTGCTTGTGATCTCCTATCAGGACAACCTGCTTGGCCTTAGTGGCAATGATAGGAATCATGCTTTGTGGTTCTGGACTCATGGCACTCTCATCGATGATGAGCTGGAAGATGCGCGTTGACTGGACCAGCTTTCTATTCCCACCGACTGGGCAGGTACAGAGGATCACATCGCACTTCTTGAGTTCTTCACAGGAGGCCATGTACACCAGCTTCCCATACTTCTTGATGTGGCCCAGAGTGACAGCTTCTGGTTTGGTCTTGAACAATGCATCATACATCCTTATTTCCTCAGCATGAGGTTTGCCTGACTGTCGTATCATGTGGTGGAGAGACACATTGAAGAGTCTGGGGTCAGATCGCAGGCCTCGCATGCTCCTCTTGGACATGAAGTTGCGTTTGGGCACAGGGTAGTCCTGAGCCACGATGTTGCTGCCATAGAGGCGGATGATCTTGGGACAAGCATCTCCAAGTCGATTTAACAGCAGAACTAGGAATAAATGTTTCAATAAAATACAATTTGCACAGTTAAACAAGATATCAACAAAGAAACAACAAACATTTCAATTGTCATAAGAAATCTCTACTTAAAAGCAGAGTCAACTGTAGAATTGTACGACTTTAGATCATAACATGTGTTCAAGATACACTATCTAGTCATGAAGAGTCTCAAAATCATGAAGCCAAACATGAAAATTTGATATTTGTTTTCAGATGGAAAACTGGCAACCTGTTAACCACCCAAACTCAAGGAATTAAGTTTGCTTACCCTATTTTCAGCTTTTGTGCCCTTAATGCCAAACAGAATCTGTTTTCGGCAGATAATCTAGGCTGGTTATTCTCTTGCATGACAACTGATATTACCCAACATCAAAAGCATTAACTCAGTGTAAACTTCTCCCAATGCTTCATTAAATGTAATACCAGCATTTCACCTTCCATTAAAGAGTCAGTCTCATTAAGAAACAATAAATATTCTGACTTACCTGCTACGAGATCCACAGCTTTGTTGGACGGACCACAGAAAAGCACTTGTTTCCTCTGGTCATCTACACCCTCCAGGTGAAGGAACTTGTTGATCTTGTTGAAGAGGTACACCAGCTTGATCCCAGTGTATGTCTTACCTGTACCTGCAGGATATATAGCAACACATGATTGGAGAAATCCAATGGTATGATCTGCTTTTTTATATAATGTGCTGATGTTTTAAAAAATATCTCAGAATCCGGTGCCAGATTGAGACAAAGAAAGAAGTGACATATAATGAATACATGACAGCAAATGATGCAATGTCAGGAAGTGAGATCAGACGGCAAGTGTGACAAGACAGGAAGTGAGACAAGACAGCAAGTGAGGCAATAACAGGACGTGAGACCAGACAGCAAGTGAGCCAAGACAGCAAATGAGACAATAACAGGAAGTGAGACCAGACAGCAAGTGAGACCAGACAGCAAGTGAGACAAGACAGCAAGTGAGACAATAACAGGAAGTGAGACAAGACAGCAAGTGAGACAACGTAAGGAAGTGAGACCATACAGCAAGCAACACAATGTTAGGAAGTGAGACCAGACAGCAAGTGAGACAATGTTAGGAAGTGAGACCAAACAGCAAGTGAGACCAGACAGCAAGTGAGATAATAACAGGAAGTGAGACAAGACAGCAAGTGAGACCAAACAGCAAGTGAGATCAGACAGCAAGTGAGACCAGACAAGAATTGAGACAATAACAGCACGTGAGACAACGTAAGGAAGTGAGACCATACAGCAAGCAAGACAATGTTAGGAAGTGAGACCAGACAGCAAGTGAGACCAAACAGCAAGTGAGACAATGTTAGGAAGTGAGACCAAACAGCAAGTGAGACCAGACAGCAAGTGAGATAATAACATGAAGTGAGACAAGACAGCAAGTGAGACCAAACAGCAAGTGAGATCAGACAGCAAGTGAGACAATGTTAGGAAGTGAGACCAGACAGCAAGTGAGACCAAACAGCAAGTGAGACAAGACAGCACTTGAGACAATTTTTGTAAGTGAGACCATACAGCAAGTGAGACAATGTTAGGAAGTGAGATCAGACAGCAGGTGAGACCAGACAGCAAGTGAGACAAGACAGCAAGTGAGACCAGACAGCAAGTGAGACAAGACAGCAAGTGAGACCAGACAGCAAGTGAGACAATGTTAGGAAGTGAGACATGACAGCAAGTGAGCCAAGACAGAAAGTGAGACAATGACAGCAAGTGAGACCAGACAAGAAGTGAGACCAGACAAGAAGTGAGACCAGACAGCAAGTGAGACAGCATAAGGAACTGAGACAATGTAAGGAAGTGAGACAGCATAAGGATGTAAGACAAAGCCACCTACCTGGAGGCCCCTGGATGAGGGTGAAGCTGGAACTGAGGGCCCGGTCTATGGCCTCGTGCTGCTTGGTGTTATTGTGAGGCAGACCATAGACTGGGACCTCTTTCTCCATCTTCTTGCCATAGTCCAGTCTGTCCTTGTCTGTAGTGATAAGAGTTACATATGCATTACCATGGGTTGCAAGAAAGGCAGCTGGAGCCTGATAGCTAATGGGTTAGTGGTCAGTACCATCAAGGACAGTTATATCTGTGATATACCAATTGTAATAGTTTTCTTCTGTTTTTTAAAAGAAAATATTTATGTTTAATATTTACTCACCCAGTTTAGGAGGCCTCCTGTGCAATGCAACACAGCTTGCTAAATCTGACTTGTCTCCACTCAAGCTTTGTATCATTCTCATTGTACGTCTGAAACAGAGTTAACATTATTACTGACCATTACAGTCACTTGGTCATATACCTTAACATGCTGTGTGCATGTCACTTGGTGTCACTTGGTCATATATACCTTAACATGCTGTAAACTGAGAAGATTGCTGAGGCAGAGTAAGCAATAATCACTCACTCATACACCCTAAGGACACTCCTGAAAGAGTCAGATATTGAAATAATTTACTTCAATTTACTGTGAAAACTAGTTACGGTTACAAATCAGAACAACACAATCATGTTCTTACCTGTCAACTTCTGACTTGAAGATGACCTCTACAGTGCCTGTACTCTTGGGATAGAGTTCGTCTGGCACAGGACCACTGTTGGCATTTAAGCTGAATGTGACCGTCACATAATCTGATTCCATGTCCTTGTCTTTCTTTCTCCTCACTTTCATGATCTGAGCATGACCGACCCATGTGTAGGTGTCTGCCTGTGAACAGACATCAACTCCACATCCTTCAGACACCTTCCTCTTCTTCAAGGCACACTCAACAGCCTCTGCTTTCCTCCTAGACCTCCTCCTTTCTGATGACTTACTCCTCTTTGAGGATTTCGTTTGCCTTCCTTCTTTTGTCAGTGGGCAAGGGACTTCAATGACCTTGGTTGAGATCTCCTCATCATAGGTTTCCCGTGACTCAGGTCTATTTTGGTCAATCTTGATTCGTATGCAGAGATAGTCAATTGAGGAGAACTCCCTTCGTCCAAAGTTGTCCCTTTCATCATCATCATCATCTCCCTCTTCTTTCAACTTCTCCAAAGGTTTGCCTCCAAACTCAATGCACCTTTCATGCACAAAACTAGATGGAAAAGTGAATGTCCCTTTGTAGAAGGTTTTTGTTTTTCCTTGGTTGCGTTTGAATTCGATGTTGACATTGTTGATGATGATGTTCTCTTCACTACGAACTGCAGATGTTGCAGATTCCATTTCCAGAAGAGGCAGCCATGTTCTCTGATACTCAGATATTGACTCAATGTTCTTTTTGGTCGATTCTGTAGCATACTTACTCAACACACCAACAGGATCTTCCATGTGACTGAGACACAGACTGAGGTTCTTGCAAACCTGAAACAATCTCACTTGTGGAGTGAGCAAACCCTTCTCTGGATTAGCAACCATCTGAACTTTGATGACACGTCCGGATGTAAAGCAGAGAGTAAACTTGCAGTGGTGGAACTTGATGGAACCATCTCCATGCTCTGAGGTGACCATGTCCCTCACTGGTGCTCCAGTGGGCAAATCTTGTCCTTCTCTGGGTTGACTGTTGACCATCTTCTTCCATGCTTTGTGGTCCTGGCTGAACAATGCATTCAACATCTTTGCCCAGGTCTGTGTGTCCACAAAGTACACATGCTGATTAGGATTCACAATAGACACTACTTGTTTTGGCCGTTGTTTCTGTTTGAATCCTTGCTGCTTTTCCAGCATCTTTGAATACATCAGCTGGCTGGGACATCCAGTACAGTCATACAGCCTTTTCTTCCATTTTCCTGTGACAATTGTCTTTGTTGACCAAGGATCTTGCTTCTCCTCTGGTTTCTTACTGAAGTCCATCAAGTTGAAGGGTAATTCCTTGCTTCTGCTGGACACATGCTTCAAAGATGGGATACAGAGCTCTGCTCCACTGTCCGAGACCTTGTCCACCACAGCATTAAATACCATTGGCCTCTGCGAAATCTTTGCAGCTCTCTTCAAAGCCTGGCACCCATTGCTGAAGTGTTTCTGTCTGGAAGTGGCATCATTGATATAGGCACAAATGTCAGCTATTTCTGATGATGAGTAGGGACAGGATTTCCCATCAAGAGCTGCATGCACCAGTCTGTGTACAATGAGGTCCACATATCTCCGGATAGGTGATGTGAAATGTGTATACATCTTTGTATTCAGAGAGAAGTGATTCAGCTCTTTTTCAGAGAGCATTGAACATTTGTATTCTGCAGATTCCATGATTTGTCTCCAGTGTTGAAGAGCAATTGCTTGGAAAGGGTGGACCTCATCTTTGCACATATTCCTTACAGCTTTAGTCAGGGTTTCATCATGAACTCCATCAAGAATCTGAAGCCAAATGTTCTTCTGGACTGGCAAAGACTCTTTTCTCACTGTGTTGCCCTTGGCTACCCAGTTCCCTGAGGCCACCGTCCTGCCAGGTAAGACTTCTTGTCCTTGCAGGTTCACAACAAGGTCCAGGAACTTATCCTCACTGTGGACAAACTTCTGGACATCCTCGGTAGATGGTGGAGGCTGACATCTGATAGGGATGCAATTTGGGAACTTCTTTCTCAACCACTGAGCAATCGATGTATTGGCTTTGATCATGAACTCTTCAATGAGTGCATGGGCTTCAATATTCTGCTCTATGATTTCAGTCTCAATAAATCTTGGATCTTCAAATGGAACAGCAAACCTAGAATCTTTAAGTCTGTCCTTTCTCAAGTTCTGGGAAATTTCATGAAGCAGTTTGATATTGTCTTTCAGAGTTTGTGAAACATGATCCACTTCCTCATTTTTAATAACTTTCTGAGCATCTTCATATGACAACTTGCAGGAAGATTTAATCTTTGTTTTCATGACTGTTGGTTCCTTTACAAGCTTTCCTGATTTTTCAATGTGAAAGAAATTGGACAATGCAAGTCTTTCTTCATTTGGTAGCAGACTACACATGCCCTCACTCAATGGTTCAGGCAACATGTTGTGAGTCCTGGACTCGCATGGATAGAAGCTTGTGGCTCTCTTCTGTGCCTCTCTGTCAACAGGGTCCCCTTTCTTCACCACTGAGGCCACATCAGCAATGTGGACTCCAATCAGATAGTAGTCATCCTTGGCAGAGATACTCAAAGCATCATCTAAGTCTTTTGAATGTGCAGGATCTATTGTGAAAACTTCAAGCCCTGTGCAATCAACTCTGCCATCAGCAAGAACAGTGTCTCTCTTCTTCAGAATTTTACCAATATGAGCAACTGTGTCTTGTGAAAAGTAGGTTGGAACCTGATATTGCATTTCCAGGATCTTGAGACCTCCATTGAAGTCGGTGCCACACTCAATGATGTCTACCACTGCTCCAAGAGGGTACACATGGTGGATGCCCCAGGTGAGATAGACGACCAGGAACACATACCTTCCTCTAAGTCCTGGTTTCACATCAAAATATTTCTTGTATCGGAGTTGTCCATTCTCATTGATTTCATATGTATCAATCCTGTATTTGGACAAGGAAGGGAATTTCTTCTTTGTAACACCATTCAAGGCATGAATCTTTGGCACAGTTTTGCAAAGAGGATGCATTAGAAACCCTTCATCATCATCACACGTACAGGCCATGACTGTATGGCTCTCTTCCCTGAAGTTGCTGTTGAGGACACCAACAACACGTCCATACACCTTGTCATCTTCCTCAGCCCTCTTGTATATCACATGACCAGACACAGGATGGGAGTGAGGCTCTGACAGAACCTCCACACAAACCTCATCATTGTTGAATGTCTGGCCACACTTGGACCTCCCGTGAATCTCAATATCACTGTAGGTTTCCCCTCCTGACAACACTTTACACACAGCCTTGTGAGATGACTCAAACCGTATCTTACACTGCTTGTACTTCTCAGGCATGGCTGCCATGAGTCGTCTCAACTCAAAGTCGCGTTCCAGGGGCCTATAGAAAGGAGCCCTGGTCTGTTGATACTGCTTGGCCTCGATGCTCTCAGTCTCCACATCCATCCCCATGCCACAAGTAATCTTTGTGTCCACATCACCATTGTCATACATTTCCTTACTTTCTTCAAACCATGTCTTGTCCGACTTTTCAGCCTTGACTTTGGTCACCTCTGGCTCTTTCTCTTCATGTTGAGAAGAGGGTGATCCTCGAAGCTCAAAAGCATCCTCAAGATCTGATCCATCATCCCCACTCGATGTGTCCCAGGCTGTGTACTGAAGAAGAGGGTTGCTGTCAACATTGAGCTGTGTGGGGTCCTTGCCTGCTTGTCCAGTGAAAGGAAGTGACAAGCCATTAGACGTTCGGTATCTTGGTTCACCCATCTGCATTGGTCCACCTTTGAGCCAGTCAGTGTGACTAACCTGGATGGGTTCCACATGTTCTCGTCTTGCTGTTAAAACAAGAAGCGTAGAGTTATTTGTGAACTAGGGGTTAGTCTTGTTCTAGTCTGCAATACTAAAGCTATATCAAGCAGCTTATTAGTCCTACATAGAAAACAAATCTTCCAGCATCATCAGTTTTAGTCCTAGCATAGTCTTCTGATAGCATGCAAATAATCAATCCTGGGAAGGCAAACCAGGGGTTGATAACATGAGCATTAATCCACTGAGCTGGGTTAGATGACACACTAACAGACAGGAATTACATTGTCAGCACTTAATCCTCATTATAGTTGGCTCTTATGTCTCAAAATCCATACACTTCTACATATGTTGTGATTGTCCTGTTGCCACGACTTTGTGTAAGTGGGCCCTCGTCTAGAACAAGCAAACCAGTGACTCCTAAGCCCCATTCCAGAAACATCTTACAATAAGCATGGGCAATACATATATTATTCAACAGAATCTCACATGGGTCCACAGAGAGTCCATAACTATACTACTTATAAAGAGAACACCTGACTCATTCATATAACTATAACTAACCTTTAATGACATCACAGATTAACTATAGTTATACGAAAGAATTGGGTGGTCCTTAACTTTTTGTTTGTCGTATAGATATAAATCTATCTTCATTGTGCCAGTATCTTATTGACAGATTATATGGCCGATATGTCTTCCTTGACAGGTCATAAAATACATAGAAGATACAAGGATAACAGTATGACTCTAAAGTTTCAGTACATGTTTAGATCACAAAACAGTTTTAAACTTACGTCTGGAATGCCTTTTCTTCTTGACGTGAGCATTCTTTGCCTGTTGCGCCCGTGCTTGCTGCAACTGTAACACAAATATGTTCTGGTCATGTGACAACAGTAATGACTACGCAGATCCACGGGGGGTGCACACACATTCAGACACATTATAGGTGAGCAGGTATACCATATTTTCTCCAGCTTAACCAGTCAAGAAAGTTACTGTTTCTGTAACATGAAATACTGCAAGGCAGTTTCCACACGACCACAAGGATTACCGACAAGAATGTGAAAGACGGAGTATGGCTGATGTAGTATTGACTGACAGAGGAGGGACATCATGTGGACTGACACCAGGTCATCAGTTCATGGCTCAGCTGGTCATACTATTGTAGCAATGCTACTCAACGTTTAATAGGGATATTGAGATGCTTCATACCAGTGACAAATATAGTCTTTGATTGGCATGGGATGGGAGAACATGAACATTGACAAATATAGGGAGTGAGTGAGTGAGTTGGGTTTAACACCGCTTTTAACATTATTCCAGTCATATCGCTATGTGTCAGCTTAATGTGGGAGGAAAGCCCGAAGTGATGCAGGTTTCAGATGTTTACCACTTCGGTGAAACCCACCAGCATGGGTATGGTGCTGACAAACCTAGAAACATAATTGGGGCGAACCAGGATTCGAACCAACAATCATAGGTTTCTGCCGTGCCCAAGGGACGCAACTCTGCACAGCGAATCTCGGTGCCTTAGACAACTGGGCCACCCTTGCCCCCAACAAATATAGTCTTTGATAGGCATTTAAAAATTGGGAAACATGAACATTGACAAATATATATAAGCAATCAGTTTGATGTATCAAGCAATATACTTATCAATAGTTGAATGGTATACATCCAGTACACTACATTCATTATTGCCAAACAAAAACAGAATTACTATTCATATTTGCCACTTCAAACTCATCTTCAGGTATATCCAAGAAGATGAGGTCAATAACTTGAGCATCATCCAGGTGAGGACCCATTTTTAGATTCCATATTAAATGATGTGTTTATCATCGCATCACTTGATTGAGTATTTACAGACTGCTCAAATGTGCAGCACATTCATTAACATGTAAACATGTTTGTAAACAGCAGGGATGTGAGCAGGTTTTCCCAAAAAAAGATGAAAAGGCTAGGGGGTTCTGTAGTCCAAGTAGTTGTGATAGAAAACGTATGATGTCCGAAAACCTATGCTGCTGAAAGCTCTGATCGAAAACAGGATATTCTGTGCGGTTGTCTGGTTTTCGATCACATATATTCTGTGCTGTTGTCAGGTTTTCAATCATATTTTTCAGAGTAATTTTTTTTAAATCTTTGATCATAATTTTACAAGGAAGATAAAAAAAATTCCGAGGACTACTGTTTTATAAAAAAGCAAATTTTCACGTTTCCACGGGGAGATTCCACATCCCTGGAACAGACATGAATACAATCAGATAATTATGTTAAATGTGCATTAAATATCAATGACCTGTGTGGTGCTGATGTTGGTCCCCGTCAACCAATCAGCATCTGGCTCCATTGTCGGCTGCTGCGTAGAGGTGGACATCTCCTGGCGCAGCTGGTCCATGTACTTCTGAAGATGCTGCTTTATTTGCTCCTCCTGAATAAATGTCAACTTGCATTATTTTTTTAAGGAAAATTGAACAAGGGTAAAACCTCCATATATCAGAGAACATCCAGAAAATCTTAACTAATCTTAATAAACATTTTCTAAAACCTTACTGAGACATATGGTTGGCAAAGTTGTCAAAGGCCCTGCTATTCCCTATGCAGAGTTGTGTCCCTTTGGTGTTCTGGGTGCAATTCCCAGAAAATGTTTCTAAGTTTGTCATCTCCATACCCGTACTAATTGGTTTCCCTCCAATATAAAGACAACATTGGTTTCCCTCCAATATAAAGACGACATATCATGACAACTGGAATACTGTTCAATGTTCAACTGGCCCACTTACACACTCACTCAACCAAACATCAGTGATTCATATGTAGTTTGAATCTATAAAAACAGAACTTTAGTAGGGATATTGCGATATCTGTCATAAAACTGGAACAACAAATAGTCACACCAACTTGAAATGGACCTGTGTCACAATGTCAATTTCCTATATATTCTTATGCCAACATCCCCAAGCAATCAGTCACTTCCACCTTTACACCAAATATCTCTTTTAAATTTGGAACATATATGAGTAAGGCGTAAAAAAATATAAGAATTGGCTCTCAGGCAAGGCTTTTTGAAAATATAGTGTGTGGGCAGGTGTAGCTTTTTGTTGTCTTTTGTTGTTGTAATTGTTGTTGTTCAAACTAGTACGTAACCAAATAAACAGCTTGAAAAGGGAAGTAACTGCACGCCAGATTGGATCACATTGTTTTTAAGTATTGTCACATTTCACTGCCGGGGTCATGTGTTCAAGACATAGTTTAGCATTTTTTATTCTTTTATATGATGATGCTGGCTGTCCCTGAGAACCAAGACTATTATTTTTTTATACCTAACTTAAGATGTGACCATACCTGAATACAGTCCTTAGCATATTCCACTTTGTCGAGTGCTGCTCTGTATTGTCCGTTCTTGTGAAGAGCTAGTGCCCAGAGCTCATAGGGAATGTAGCTGCTGCAGTCAAAGAGCTCGCAGGCTGGAAACAGAGGACACAGGTGGAATAAACATGATATAACCTGCATTATATTACAAAGGGATGTGACACAGCTCGCAGGCTGGTAGCAGAGGACACAGACAGGACGGGCAGAGCCTAAACCTATATCCCCCTCCCACACTGTGACATGACATACACCGATACAACCAGCATACCACTGCATCGGCATGTCACACAATGGTGGCTCTGATGCTGGTTCCACCAACACTTATGTTTCCCCTCTCTCTATGAATAGAGACTGGGAGGTCTCAGTAGAAGCTGCCTAGTACACATATATAGAATAGTATCCTTAAACTTGGTCTCTTATTAGTCAATATCCTTTCTCTTTATGGAGACGTTTTTCACACTCAAAACATGAAAAAGCAGAGACAACTAATACTACATATACTATCTTATTTAACTTGCCATACATATTTCCTTGTCTCTGTCTTTTCCTCCAAAACAGCATCACAAACCAATTATTTCATGTCTAATGTAAAATCTAAATGTTTTCAACCATTATCAACTGTATTTCTTCCTAAAAAAATTGGCCAACTGGAATGTCAAAACATATAAAGACAAGTTATCTCCCTTGATCAGTTAGAAAGGAACCTAATAAATAGCTGTTCCAGAAAATATGTGTATTTGTATTATCAAATGACTGATTTCTGGCAAACTTCAATTTGCTTGTTTCTGTAGTAGATTCATATCCTGATTAAAATCATTTGGCATAAACACACACTACTCTCAGACGACATGTTAACAGCCTTGTTTGAGGTGAAGCTACTCAAATGTACAGAATGTCTTTACAATTTAATATTTTCAAACAGTCGGATTCCTAACAATTACAATTTGTGAAATCAGATTTATTTGAAAGGAACTTACCCTCTTTACAGTATCTGGTGCAAAGTCTGTACTGCTCCTACAACAGGCAAGCCACATAAGTTATTCATCCTATATTTCTCTTATAATAAACAAACATGAATACATGGGGAAAAATAGTTTTTTCATTTCTTTAGTAAACATTACATGATTTTATTAATGGAAATTGGGTTCAAAGTCGCGTCTAAGATTATTGCACTTATATAGCGGCGTTCATGTGTGTGTGAGTGTGTGTGCATGCGTGCGTGAGTGTGGGTGCATGTGTGGCTGCTTGTATAAGTCCGGACTGATGCAGATTTATAGTGCTTGCCCACTGAGATACCATAGCGCAGCATAACATGAATACCCTACTCAGATACAGTATATTAACTCCGAGCCGACCAGTCCTTGTTTTAGCCCCTTAATGCCAGGCACCAGACAGGGTAACAACAAGTATCATCTTTTGATGTCTTTTGGTACGACGCACCCGGATATCGAACCCCGGACCTTCTACTCTCCGGGCGGATGGTCAACCACTAGACCAAAGAGGTGGTCTTATCAGTATCAAAGAATAAACACTTTCAAAGTTTTGCACCTAGCCTAAAATTGGTTACTTGTATGACATCTGCACCGTCACTTAACATCCCCGCAAGCAATACTAAATGATTTATCCCTAAATCAGATTATTTCATCTCAAAAAGCTGCATCAGAGGGACTACAATTATTGATATTAGGATGTAAATATAAGTCTGAGGAAATTTTTTTTTAAATGATGTAACATCAACTTACACAATAGCCGTGACTTACCGCTTGGTAGCAGCACTTGGCCAGCAGGAGAATGAGATCGCCTCTTTTCCTTGTCTTTTCTTTTTGGGAGAACCAGCTTCTAATGAACATGTATGCTCGGAGAAGGTCGAGGCACAGAAAGTAGGAGAATGCTGGATTCACCTTCATGTACTCGAAAGCTAAATCCCTCAAGTCCTGCAGCAGCCCTTGTGTGCTCTGTTCAGTAATAATAATAATAATAACGATGGTGGTTATGATGATGATGATGATGATGATAATGGTGGTGGTGGTGATGATGATGGTGATAGTGGTGATGGTGATGATGACACAACTTATAGCAATATTCCTGATGGGAAACACTATGAATTGACTTCACACATTGACGCATTGACCCTGATCTTATCAAACTTTCTGTATCAAATCATAAAATGTATATCATCGTGACCATATTCAAAAAAATATCAGATATTACACTTCTGGGCTGGGACCAACAATCAAAGGAGCATGGATCGCCTAGGGAATCAACACTAGATCGTGAAAAGCAGCACTTACTACCAGCCCCTAACAATATTAATCATTTTTATAACATGGTAATTATTTAACCTAAATTTGATAAGGAGATAAACATACTGTGTTTTCAATGTAGAGCTAGGTTAGCTGTAGATTTAAACCCGCTAAATTGAATTTGGAACCGAACGCGCAGCGTGAGGTTTCAAATGTTAAATTTAGCGCGGTTATAATTATTTAAATATGCCTACCGACACTGACTGAAAATAGTACTATTCTATGAATATTAGCTTCCGCGGTGGTGCAGCCGTCAAACCAGCTGTTTCAATCAGAGGGGGTTTATTGTGATTAAATAGCCTCTGATTGACCAATCAGAATCGAGTAAATTCCAAATTCATGGTAGAATAATAAATTAATGTTGATTAAGCATGTGATGAAAATGTAAGGTGAAGTATTGTATATTACCGATTGATTAATGCTCCATATCTGGGTGTCAATGAACAGAGTCCTCCATAGCGAGGCTGCAGAATAGGCACAGGCCATGTTTAGAACCAGTTCTCGGCCAGGCTCTGTGCCTTCAAGGCTAGCAGTGATGTCCAGTAGAATCATGGCTGTAACACAAGGCACACAGGGTTACTGCAGTAGTATCTTAGAGTGCCTGAATTAAATGGACGCATCTGTCCTGTCAATGAACTTGACACTAGAATGTTTTCAAGCCAAGAAATGATGCTGTATACAACAAATAATCACCATTTACTTACATGTACATGTGGTAAATACTTACCAGGAATACATGTATCTAAGCTAAGTGACTAAAATCGGGTTTTATCACATTTTGGGACCAAATAGTTGAGTCAATGTACACAAAAATTAAAGAAATCCTCATTTTTAAGCCCATGGGCTAAAAGGTGAAAGGAACTATTTACATTTATAGGTTTATAGTTATAGTTAAAGAAAGGTTAACTTTACACCTAATACATAAAGCAAGATTTAGAAATCTGTGGCTACAGTATTATACAATGTTACTTACTTCTATAGAAATATTGGAAGGCTTGAAACATGTCACACCCCTGAAAAAACACAAATACATAAGTTATCACTAATACCATAAACATGATAAACAGACAACTCAACTCTTGTCTGCCACAAAGTTATGTACATATGAATAATACATAAGTTTTGGTTTGGATTGTTGTTTAACGCCGCACTCAGCAATATTCCAGCTATATGACGGCGGTCTGTAAATAATCGAGTCTGGACCAGTGCGCATCGATCCACGCAATTGGGATCGATGACATGCTTCAACCAAGTCAGTGAGCCTGACCACCCGATCCTGTTAGTCGCCTCTAATAACAAGCATAGTCGCCTTTTACAGCAAGCATGGGTTACTGAAGATCCATTCTACCCCAGAACTTCACGGGTCAATACATAAGTATCCTTATCAAAGCTAAGAAGTATATAGTCACTTATTTTGAAATTATAATACTAACAACTCTGAGATTGTTTCCCATCCATTAACAAAAACTTTAGTTTTTACTAATAAGAAAAGGCATGTCATGTTTTCAAGTCTGTGACCATGGTAACATACCTGTGTCAAGGCAAAGTCGGTGAAGTTGCAGGTGAGTCTGATGGCCTGAGTCTGGAGTTCCGGGGATGGTGGAGTTCCCGATGGACTCAGACAGAGTCTCATGGAGGCCACCAGTGTCTTGCACTCTCCCAGGGTGAACTCTGAGTTTATGACCTTCTCTATCCCCTCCTGCAGGAGGTCCTTCATGTCCTTGGTCTCCGACATCATGTGCTGGATAGCCTGGCCAATACAGGAGTTACAGTTAGAAGATGCCTTGACACTTTTGCAGCAGCTATTGACAACTGTTAATATTTCAGCAATATTAGGCAGGGGATACAACAGTGGGATTCACATATGGTTCACATGTGGAGAATCAAACCTGGGCCATTAGCCGAATGAGCGAACACTTGAACCCCTAGGCTACCCTCTCCCCAGACAAATGACAGGTGTGTCACAGTGAGAGAGTTCCACTTTGTATATTCTATATGACAGTGGGAGATGTGTTTGGATCTTTACCATGTTATCAGCAGCCCAACAAAACATGTAACTAAACCTGTGGCTGACAAATAAAGTGAGAGCATGTGTCACACTACGTCATCCAGAAGTGAGTGAGTGTGTTGGTGCTTCGAACAGTATTTCAGTTACAGTATTTGAAGGCAGCTTAATGTGAGAGGAAACCCAAAAGGGATACAAGAGGTAGACCCGTGAATAGGTCTTCAGCAACCCATGCTTGCCGTAAAAGGTGACTCTGCTTGTCGTAAAAGGCGACTAACGGGATTGGGTGGTCAGGCTCGCTGACTTGGTTGAAGCATGTCATCGATCCCAATTGCTTGGATCGATGCCCATGATATCAATCACTGGATTGTCTGGTCCAGACTCGATTATTTACAGACCGCCGTCATATAGCTGGAATAGTGCTGAGTGTGGCGTAAATCAACAAACAAACAAACAACAAACAAGATGTAGATATCTACTTGGTGGGCAGCGACCCAGGTATAGTAGCTGATATTCAAAGATTAACATTGTGTAAGCCACTGAGAGACTCGTGATGCTGTCACAGACAGCTGCTGTCTACCAAGGTTCTGTTCTTTTTCTGCAATCATAGTGACCAACCAGCTGGGAGAGTATAACCTCAATATAGCTTCAAGCGGCAAAATGCCACAAACCTTCAAGAACTCCTGTTTTCATACATTTATTTTGTAGAATAAGTAAGGGATCTACCTGCCCCATGATGATTCCTTCTGGTGTGGAAAGAAAGGAGTGCAGCTGCTCACAAAATAGTTAAAATAGTAAAAATAAATTAAATATAAGAATTATAAACAAGAAAATACTGACATCCAATAACTAGGTGAGGTAAGCTGAGGTTTAATGTCGCGGGCAAGAGTATTGCACTTATTTTGGGATGTGTATGCGTCTGGAGTTCCGGGGATGGTGGAGTTCCCGATGGACTCAGACAGAGTCTCATGGAGGCCACCAGTGTCTTGCACTCTCCCAGGGTGAACTCTGAGTTTATGACCTTCTCTATCCCCTCCTGCAGGAGGTCCTTCATGTCCTTGGTCTCCGACATCATGTGCTGGATAGCCTGGCCAATACAGGAGTTACAGTTAGAAGATGCCTTGACACTTTTGCAGCAGCTATTGACAACTGTTAATATTTCAGCAATATTAGGCTGGGGATACAACAGTGGGATTCACATATGGTTCACATGTGGAGAATCAAACCTGGGCCATTAGCCGAATGAGCGAACACTTGAACCCCTAGGCTACCCTCGCCCCAGACAAATGACAGGTGTGTCACAGTGAGAGAGTTCCACTTTGTATATTCTATATGACAGTGGGAGATGTGTTTGGATCTTTACCATGTTATCAGCAGCCCAACAAAACATGTAACTAAACCTGTGGCTGACAAATACAGTGAGAGCATGTGTCACACTACGTCATCCAGAAGTGAGTGAGTGTGTTGGGATTAGTGGTGCTTCGAACAGTATTTCAGTTACAGTATTTGAAGGCAGCTTAATGTGAGAGGAAACCCAAAAGGGATACAAGAGGTAGACCCGTGAATAGGTCTTCAGCAACCCATGCTTGCCGTAAAAGGTGACTCTGCTTGTCGTAAAAGGCGACTAACAGGATCGGGTGGTCAGGCTCGCTGACTTGGTTGAAGCATGTCATCGATCCCAATTGCTTGGATCGATGCCCATGATATCAATCACTGGATTGTCTGGTCCAGACTCGATTATTTACAGACCGCCGTCATATAGCTGGAATAGTGCTGAGTGTGGCGTAAATCAACAAACAAACAAACAACAAACAAGATGTAGATATCTACTTGGTGGGCAGCGACCCAGGTATAGTAGCTGATATTCAAAGATTAACATTGTGTAAGCCACTGAGAGACTCGTGATGCTGTCACAGACAGCTGCTGTCTACCAAGGTTCTGTTCTTTTTCTGCAATCATAGTGACCAACCAGCTGGGAGAGTATAACCTCAATATAGCTTCAAGCGGCAAAATGCCACAAACCTTCAAGAACTCCTGTTTTCATACATTTATTTTGTAGAATAAGTAAGGGATCTACCTGCCCCATGATGATTCCTTCTGGTGTTGAAAGAAAGGAGTGCAGCTGCTCACAAAATAGTTAAAATAGTAAAAATAAATTAAATATAAGAATTATAAACAAGAAATTACTGACATCCAATAACTAGGTGAGGTAAGCTGAGGTTTAATGTCGCGGGCAAGAGTATTGCACTTATTTTGGGATGTGTATGCATGCATGTGTGTGTAGGTATGTGTGTGGCTGCTTGTACTAGCCTGGACTAATGCCGGTTTTAGAGTACTATCCCACTGAGATACCATGCCGCTGTTTAACATGGATACCTCACTCACACTATACCGACTCCTTGCCGACCAGTCCTTGTTTTATTTCCTTAATGCTCAGCACCATGGAGGATAACAAGTACCATATTTTAACATATTTTGGTATGACGCGGCCAGGGATCAAACCGCCAAGCAGACAGACTATCCACTAGACCACAGGGGCAGTCTATTAATATACTTAACTGCAGCAAAAATACAACTAAAGCGAAACATTAAAGTAGAATGTACATACGATTTTTATTTTTTATTAAAAAAATAAACATATTTTATAAACATAAAGTGACAAACAACATTTCCATAATAATAAGAAATCTTACAGCAGAGTCCATTATACTGTTACATGAAGAGGGCAATATCATAAGTATGTGTCTATAAATCGCTCTCAAATAGACATGATGTTTCTCTCGGTTGAGTGCATTATGAATAAGAGAGAAACTGCTTTCTCCTTAGCGGTATGCAATGGCTAAGGCAGGTAATTAGCCTGGCTATGTTACGGGTATAAATAAGGGGCGTGGAAAGCAGCCAAATAAAAAAGTACTCGGCAAACCACTAACCAAACCAAAAATTCACCATCCATCAAAAGAAATCGACAGAGTAATCACTAAACTCCAAACAGGACACACCAACCTAAATAACCACCTAAAAAAAATAAAAAAACATACTACAGGTAACTGCCCACACCTAACAACTAGAAACCCCAGAACACGCACTCATCCACTGCACACACTACCTAACACATCGAACCGCATTACAAACCACCCTCAATCTAAACAAGGCTCTCACTCTAGAAGCAATAACTAAACCCACAAAATAAACTAGAAACCTTCAAGGCCTTAGGCGTATTCTTAATCAAAACGGAACTAATAAAACGCATCTAAAAACACTATAATCCACCAATCAAAATTACATAAACACACAAACATCCTCCATACCCAGCTCCCTTAGTTCTCCTCCCCTACCCCATCGGCATCTATTCCAAATCTCAAAATTCCCAAATTCTATATAAGCAACCCCTAAAGCCCCCTCTTGGGTTGCACACACCACGTTCGCCCCTTTCGGAAACACATTAAATGGCCTGGCCGGGCCCGTGTGCGAAATACGCATCAGTCGGAAAGCGCACGTTAAATCTCCAAAGTAAGTAAGTAAGTAAGCAGCTCGTCTCACTCGCTTGTCAGCACGGCAGTAACACTGAACATAAGTGTCAAATTCTATTATGTCTCAAGACGATCCATCAACAGCGGGAAAACTTGACGCCATTTTGAAAAGATTGGACACTAATCAAAGAGATATTGAGAGTGCTGTGGAAGAATGGAATTCTCACCTAAGAGAAGAATTTATTCAGCAAGCCAAAGTTTTGAAGAAGTTTAAGACTGAAACAGAATATTCTTGGTCAAGGGAAGGAAATCGAATTCAGTTTAATGTTAATTCGGAAGTTTTAGAAGACTTACTTTATACCAGATAAGCCATTCAGAATGGGAATTATGATATAATGTCAAGGTGTGTGGAAGAAGCTATCGGAAAATTAGAGAAAAGAAATAAGCTGATAAAAATTGCAGATTCGTCGGAAGGCAGTTGGGAGACCGTTAAACATTATGTTTCCAATGAGTTAGCAGATGATTCTGATGATGACAAGAAAATTGAGAAAGCGGAATCAAAAGCTGTCAGAAAACTTAAATTGAGACAAAATCGCAAGAACCCTTATGGATCTCGTGCTTCTTTCAGGTCGATCTCAGCACAGCACGTAAATTTGATATACATTCAGCATATCATCATATAGACATATTTGAAGGCCATACTGAATTCCTAGGTTTTTCATGGAAAAATGCTTCGGGTGTTAAGCAATATTTCAAGTTCGTAGTCTTACCTTTCGGGTTAACTTCAGCACCTTATGTGTTTACTAAGGTTACAAGCCAGTTAGTCAAGAAATGGCGTTCTGAAGGGAAGAAAGTGGTCACCTTTTTAGATGACGGTATTTTATCAGCTCAGTCGGAACTTATTACACGTTCGTCTAGCGAGGCTATAAAAGAAGACTTGATTAAGTCTAGATTTGTACCCAAATGCGAAAAATCACTATGGTTACCTTCGCAGTCTATTGAGTGGCTAGGTCTTCACATAGATACAAACACCCTGTGTTTATAAGGCGATTGAAACTATTACATTTATTTTAGCGAATAGGCGCTCTTATCAACCAGTGCGGCGTGTTGCTGCGATTATCGGACAAATCATAGCAATGAAACTAGTTATGGGAAATGTTGTACAATTACTGACTATGTTTCTCAGCATTGATGTTTTGACAGCGTCATCGTGGAACAGCAACGTTATGTTGTCGTCACAGAGCATTGAACAGTTACAGTATTGGAGAGAAACATTGCTCGTTTGTCGAGAACAGTACTGATAAGGAGTACAGTTGTGAGTCCAGTTGTGTACAG